GGAAGTGTGTGACAGGAATTTCATGAAAATTATCTGTGGGTTTAGGCATAGGAGATGGGCTTTTGTGCCATATGTAGGTAGATTGGGGGGGTGTTTTGATTATGTGGGATGAGCGGGTTGTCTTGGAGTGTGAAACTATAATGGGGAAATTTCTTTATCAGTTAGGTTTAGGAATCTTTATAGTGTGGAGTGGTGGTTAACTGGGGTTTATGGACCTGATAGACCTTCGAGGAGAAAGGTTTGGTGGGAGGAGCTATATAGTTTATTTGGTTTATGTTCTCCAAATTGGTGTTTAGGGGGGGACTTCAATGTGGTTCGGAAGATCTCTGAGAAGTTCAATGGGATTAGAATCAATAGGGGTATGAAGGATTTTGATTTGTTTATAAGAGATTGCGAGTTAGTGGATCACTTTTTGTGTAATGTGAGATTCACGTGGTCCAACCTTCAAGAAAATTTGGTGTGCTGTAGATTGGATAGATTCTTATTTTCTTTGGGGTGGGAAGGGGTATTTCCCAATTTGAGATAAGAAACGCTACCTAGATTGGTTTTCGACCATTGTCCCATCGTGTTTGAGAGTTGGCCACTAAAATGGGGACAGACGCCTTCTAGGTTTGAGAACATGTGGTTGGAACACCACTCGTTCAAAAGAAATTTTGAGGAATGGTGGTCTAATGCTAGGTGCTATAGGTGGGAAGGCTTTAAATTTATGCGGAAATTGAAATGGGTCAAGGATAATGTGAAGAGCTAGAAGGAGAATTCAAAAAAGGAGATTTTGTGTAGAATTGAAGAGTTAGATGCTTTAGAATAAAGAGGGGGCCTGGTTGATCCATGAAGAAGTGAAAGGATTGATTTAAGATTGAAAATGGAAGAGTTGGTTTTCAGGGAGCAAATTTGTTAGGCCCAAAAGGCAAAGATGAAATGGTTGAAGGAAGGGGATATCGATTCAAAAAATTTTCATAGGGTTATAGATGAGAAAAGAATGAAGTTTATTAAAAAATTGGAAGTGAGCCCAAGGGTAGTTGAGGAAAGGGAGGTTCAGATTTTCAGTGGAATTTTTTATTTTTATTCTAAGCTTTACTCAAAGAAGGAGTTGAATAGACCGAGGACCGGGGATTGTAGGACTTGAGTGGGAGTCCATTGATCAGGCAACTGCAAGGTGGCTTGAAAGGCCATTTGATGAAATGCAAATCCGAGAGGTAGTGTTTGATTGTGAAAGAGACAAAGCTCCAGGTCCAGATGGTTTCTCCATGTCCGTTTTTCAGGATTGTTGGGAGGTGGTCAAAGAGGATTTGTTGAAAGTTTTTACAGAGTTTCATGAGTCATGAATTGTTAATCTGAGTTCAAATGTTACACTTATCTGTTTAATTCCTAAGAAAGTGAATATTATTAGAATTGGAGATTTTAGGCCCATTAGTCTGGTTACATCCCTTTATAAGATTTTGGGGAAGGTTTTATCGAAAAGGTTAAGGACTTCTTTGGGGACTATAGTGTCTATGTCACCAGGGACTTTTGTCAAAGGAAGACAGATTTTAGATGTGGCTTTGGTGGCAAATGAGGTGGTGGAGGAATATAGAAGTTCAGGAAATGAGGGATGTATCTTCAAGGTTGATTTTGAGAAGGCATATGATCATGTGGATTGGCAGTTTTGAATTTGTAATGGATAGGAAGGGTTATGGTAAGCGATGGAGATCTTGGATTAGGAGATGTTTGTCAACGTGTAATATGTCAATAGTTAATGGTAAACCCGGGAAAACTTTTAAGGCTTCTCGAGGATTATGATAAGGGGATCCGTGATCCCCTTTTGTGGCTTTGGTGGCAAATGAGGTGGTGGAGGAATATAGAAGTTCAGGAAATGAGGGATGTATCTTCAAGGTTGATTTTGAGAAGGCATATGATCATGTGGATTGGCAATTTTGAATTTGTAATGGATAGGAAGGGTTATGGTAAGCGATGGAGATCTTGGATTAGGAGATGTTTGTCAACGTGTAATATGTCAATCTTAGGCCAAGTTTGGCATCCTCCAAAAAATCCAAAAAGTCAAAAAGTCACTATCCTATTTAAGTCACATCATCTTATTTAAGTCACATCACCTCTCTAACACATCACTTCAAATTCAACCCAAATCCAACCCATATTTCATAAAAAGTCAAAAAGTGCACTTATTTAGTCTTCCCAAACCTAGCCTTAGTTAATGGTAAACCCGGGAAAACTTTTAAGGCTTCTCGAGGATTATGATAAGGGGATCCGTGATCCCCTTTTCTGTTTATTTTGGTGGCTAATGTATTAGGAAGGATGGTTGCTAGTGCTAGTGTTAGTGAGGTGGGTCTTTTTGAGTGATTAGAGGTTGGGAAAGATAAAGTTTGTGTGACTCATTTGCAGTATGCGGATGATACAATCTTTTTTTCTTCGGGGGATGAGAGTCGGCTATTAAATCTTTTTTCGATATTGAAACTTTTTTGGAGTACTCTCAGGGCTTAAGGTTAATTTGGAAAAAAGCAGTGTGGGGGGCATTAAGATGCAACATAATCAGATTCAAAGAAGAATTGCACTTTTAGGATGTGGTATTGAGATAGTTCCATTCAAATACCTGGGACTTTCTTTGAGGGGTAATCCTAGAAGTGAATCTTTTTGGAACCTAGTTGTGGAAAAGTTTGGTAATATGTTGGAAGGGTGGAGCGAGAGAGAGGGGGGGGGGGGTGTTAGATATACTTTGGTTAAGACAATTTTAAGTGGTATCCCTATTTATTTATTTTTAATCTTTGTTCAAGATCCTAGTGAAGGTGGCAAGGTCATTAGAAAAGTTGAGGAGGGATTTACTTTGGGAAGGTAAGGATGAAGGAAAAAAGGATCACTTGGTGAATTGGGAGATAGTTTCACTCCCAAAGGAGAAAGGGGGTTTGGCGATTGGTAACATTGTGGCTAGGAACATGACTCTTCTTGGTAAATGGTTGTGGAGATTTCCATCGAAGAGTAATTCACTTTGGCATTCTATAATTAGAAGCAAGTATGAGGTCAAGATAATGGCAGGGATTCACAAGTGGTCTCAAGGGGCTAATTGTCAGGCTCCTTGGAAGTTAATTTCTCAAATCTTTTCACTTTGGTCTCGCTTTCTTTCTGTGAGGTTGGATAATGGGGAACTTGTTCGATTTTGGGAGGATGTTTGGACGGGCCCCTCTTCCTTTGCTTTGGATTTTCCACATCTCTATAGAGTGGCTCGGTCTCATAATAGTTCTATTGCTTCCATGGTTTGTTCTTCTTTGGCTCCAATCTCTTGGAATTTTAATTTTTCTAGGAATCTCAATGATATAGAGGCTGCACAGTTGACATTTTGTTGTCAAGACTTGATCATTTTTCTTTGTTGCCTCTTTTGGAAGATAAGAGGGTTTGGGCTCTTCATTCATCGGCTATCTTTTCTTGTAAATCTTTATTTGACAAAATCATTGAGGACCCTCAAATTCCTCCTTTTCCTTTTTCTAAAAGAATTTGGAAGGCTTGCGTTCCTCTTAAGGTGAATGTGTTCATGTGGTCATTGATTCATGGGGCCATTTTGACAAATGATTCATTGCAAAAAATTAGACCAAATCGTTTACTAAATCCTCAATGGTGCATTATGTGTTGTAAGGATGGTGAATCCTTGGATCATTTATTTTTGCATTGTCCAATTGCTTTGAGCTTATGGCACATGTTGTTTATTTTGAAAAATGTTTTGTGCGTGGCACCAAAGGGTACTGCGCAAATGCTACTAATTGAATTTCGTGTTTTTGGGGGATCGAAGAGGGGCAAAGTGTTGTGGTATTGTGCCATCTTTGCAACTTTTTGGGTTCTATGGTTGGAAAGGAATGCGCGGGTTTTTGAAGATAAAAGCCCGGGTTGTGGATTTTATGTTGAATAAAATTAGTCACTTAACTTCCTTTTGGGCTTTGGTGAACCCTCTTTTTAAAGGGATTCCACTGTTCTTGCTAGCTAGAGACTGGGTGTCAGTGTGTGGCATGTAGGAGTTTTGTTGATGTAGCCTTTGCTTGGATTATGTTTGGAATCATAGCTTTTTAAATGTTCCTTAATCGCTATGTACTGTTGGAATTGCTTGTAACTAAGTCATATGTTGCTGCAGAGTAAATATCTTGTCAACTAATCAGTTAAAAATGATATACCTTGCAATTGATTTGGGGAATCTTCCCATGCTTGTCAAATAATGTCTAAAGGCACCATTCCTTGCGCTGTGGATTTTTTGGCTATATTGATGCATGAAACATGAATGTGAGTAATAATGACAATGTCCTGTAATAAAAATAATTAATTAAAAATCAACTTGGTTGTTTGCTATTATATGTCATATACATGAATATATAATTCAAGGATAATAAAAAAATGCAACATATAGGAATAGTTTTTATAAGACTTTTGTATCCTAAATTATTTTGTTTAAACTTGTAATTCGTTTCTTGTGTATCTAAGTGATGGATGTGTGCATTGCCAAGTGTGAAGAATATTCAGGTCTAAAAAAAAATAAAAAATAATAGGACATGTTTGGAGGAGTGTCCAACGCATTTTGGGAACCGGCAAGTGTCAGTGTCCAACACGGAGACAACATGGACATGTCACATTAGAAGTGTTGGTGCTTCATAGGTTGTTTGACGTGCAACACTGGCATTCTTGTTTGAGCTGGATATAGGTTGACTGCTGTGAGCCCGTTAGTCCAGTCCTCTACCTTGGAAACCAACTTATTTGTTTATTTTTTAATGGCTTTCATCTGGATATAGTTGACAGCTGTAAGCCTGTTAGCCCAGTTTTCTACCTGGGCAAGCAACTTATTTGTTTATTTTTTAATGGCTATGCTGTACCTTTCTGTCATAGGTGATTTTTTCACTATGGCCCATGGGGAGCACGTCTCCACCCCTTCCCCTTCTCTTGCCCCGAAATTTTCTGTCCTTTGCAACTACTGATGTGCTGCCTGCATGTAAATGTTGTAGATTCCTCTCTAATTTCAAGTGTGTTTGCAGTGGTTGATTTTCTTTGATTCTGAAGGGCGAATCATGGATTCAAAAGCTTTAAGAAAGAGAATATTTTATGGGGGAGTTGATCACAGACTGCGGAAAGAGGTTTGTATGTTGTAGTAGGAAGAAGCTGCCCGCCAACCTTCCTTTTTTAGGTTTAGTGTGAATTCATGTTCTGTTAACTATTAATTATGATCACAGGTCTGGCCATTCTTGTTGGGACATCATGCATATGATTCAACATGTGCAGAGAGGGAATATCTTGTGTCAGTTAAAAAGTCAGAGTATGAGACAATAAAAAACCAGTGGCAGGTTTGTTGTTAATTTTTGTGTAATTGTTGATATTTTTATTTTTTCTCTCATATTTTGATGTGATGTGTGTGTACACGTGCTTGTGGATGCCCAAGGTCATGTTGGTTCATCCACATGGCACATGCTTTCAAGCAACTCACTCCCCTGTAAAAGCAGTTAATTAGTTCCAGCTTGTCTTCTCTTTTCTGACATTCTGACTTGGCAGTATTTTTGTGGTGAACTTGAATACCTTTTTCCTTGTTCTTTGTCACATATGATGCTAGGCTTGGTTCATAAGCCAAGCCAGCTTAGCCTGTTGTTGGCCCCAAGATTATTGAAACCAATAGAAAAAATATTTTGATTGTGGGAATTACTAACTGGCCAATACTATTTTGCAACTTGAGATAATAATGCTGTTGCTGGACTATTTTTCAAAAAGATAATGCTGGTGCTGGACCAAATGTAAACATTGATTGGAGATGGTAAACTAATTTCACGTCTAGAGCATTTCTCCAACTGCTAATGGTTGAGATGCTAATTTGATTTTGGGTATCCAATAAATTGTGTAACGGTCCATATTTTTTAAAACCCGGTTAGCTTAAATTAAACCCATGCTCATTGTTCATTTCCAAATCCAATTGAATCATACATGCGGAAGCCAATAATTGTCTCAAGATTTAGTGACAATCATAAATAAAATAAACCTCTTTTCCATTGTATTTCATTTCACTGTATTTTTGAGATTTACAAAAGGGTTTACATGTAATTATATATTCATAACTCTAAAGCCTGAATCTATAGCATGTAATGAACTAATACAAGATTATGTAGGTCTTCACTCCAAGTGTCGTAAACGATTACATATTTCAAGGGTTAGAACCCTATTACAAAAGAAGTGGGTCTCTACCCCAAACATATAAGCCAATGCTTTACATAGAAAACAACAAAACAAAACAAGTCTTCGTACTCCAAAACCACTCGAACCTTCAACGAGGTGTAGGTAAATCACCATACCCGAAAATGCTTTTTCATATAGGGATGAGCACTAAGCCTAGTAAAGATAATCTTAACTAAATAAATAAGCATTGAATATGCATATGATCATGGATGCCAATGCACGTGTGCCTTTTAATGATAAGACAATTTCTGAAAAATATGAGATTTTTCAAATGATTTTTCAATTTCTCAACTTCCACAAATAAAAATAGAATTTATCCAATTCGAAAACATGGTGAATCCTTAGGTAAGCGTCTGCCAGTAGTTTATCTAAGAACAACCAAAAACTGCCCTCACTTTACAAGTTGCTAGCCGGAAGGAAATTGGTACGTACGTCGTGTGGGTTTTTGGTTTTTTACCGAGGACCTCGAGCCAACTTAAATCAACATTTCAAATCATTTTATACACTACCCCAATTCACCCACTGTTACTCCATAATTTCCTATAATCAACATCTATTGAATCATGACAAAACCATGATTGTTCAATGCTCAATGCTCAATTTTCCCAATGTTTCAATTCTTCACAATGCAATCCTCAACCAATTGTCACAAACAGATATCTCTAATTGTATCTCAATACACATATATCATAATCTCATGAATATTCTCAATTTCTCAAAAGTAGCATCAATTCAACAATTTCATCAACTTTCCAAATTCCTAGGGTTCAAGAAATTTAGGACTTTTGCCTTTTTGAAACAAATTTAACAAATTCACACACAACACTAGTTTTGTAACAGCCCGAATTATTTAACATATGATAATCAATATTAACTCATCGTTATTACTCAAATCCCCTTAATCATAACCATTAGGTAACAACAACATTTAGTATCATCATCTTTCACGTACCCTCAAATCCCTATATTTGTATTCATAAATGACTAGAGATTTTACAAAAGATACATCACATGCAATTAATATGTTCTCCATTTCTAGAATATGAATCTATAGCATGTGATGAGAGAAATTAAGAAACCAAAACATAACGCCCTACGGGCTACATGTTCCAAGGCTTAAGCCCGGTTATAGATAAATGGTTTTGGGTTGACCCAAAAAAAAAAAAAATACAAGTAACTAAGGCTCGTGCTCCAAAAAAAAAAAAATCCTCCACACTCCTACTTCGGCGGGATCACAACATCTTTACCTGCAAGCGGTTCCACTAAGGATGAGCAAAAAGCCCTGTAGAGAAATCTTAACAAAGTATATACATGTTAAGCAATAATGGATGCATATGTCATGCTATGCTAAAAAACGTAAGTTTTTCTCATTTGGAAACCTCATGTAAGATGCTTGTTCGAAAACATAATCAATCCAATGATTTCAATATATAATCAAGGGGTGGTAAATGCGACTCAGGTAATCCCCTAGGTTTGGTGCCTGCAAGTAGGCATAACAAGCATTACTAAGGCCACTTTACCGGCTCTTAACCGGAAGGAAATTAGAACGTACTCTGCTTGTGTTTCCGGACTTTCACCAAGCACCTCAAGCCATCTTAACATAACCAAACTACACCCCATAATCGGACTTACCAAACGTATTTATCCCAAAACAATTCAAAACGATAGTTGTTTCACAAACAATTCTTTTTCAAAATGCAACTTCAACAATGCCAATTCAAAAAAAAAAAAAAAAAGGAAAAACAATGAGGATGAAATGAAATGACTATGCAATTTATCAATACATTCTTAATTTTTCCATAATCTCTCAATAATTCCCAATCCCAATAATACAATCCTCAATTGTGATTAAATATAGCATTTCTGCCCAACATATATATACACAATATATATTCCATGGCTTAACAATAACATATCATCACTCTCAACACTAGCATATCAGCATGCAAATCTCATCAATTTCTCAACAACATTTCCACTTCATGGATATTTAACAATAACAATGAACATGCCAAAATTCTTTATCATTTCTCAACAATGAATCTCTACAACACATGATTTCACATTATCTCCACTTTTCTCCAAATTCTCCAAAAATCTAGGATTTTCACAAAATTAGGGTTCTCATTTTTGAAAAGGTTTTTCCTGCGTAAAACTTGCAACCATCAACATAATTTAAAATCTCAAGATTTGGAGAAAACATCTGAGAAACCCTCTTTGAATCATATAAAAATAATATACACAAAACATCATCAAAACAACTGTACATTTGCTAAAATATATATATATATACATTACTTAAAGAATATCCCTGCCTCAAGCTCTAGGATGAAGAAAAGAAAACCCCAAATTTGACGGTGTCAAAAATTGATCTCCACTGCACACAATGAAGTCCTCAACATGCTCTCCGAAAAAGGCTCAAGAATAAGGGTCAAAATCTGAACGGATCTTGGTGGTTGGAAGGATTTATGGTGGTTGGTGGGTGTTCTAAAGAGAAAAGAAGACAACAAATGTAGAGAGAGAGAGAGAGAGAGAGAGAGAGAGAGAGAAATGAAAAAGTGAGGGAAAAAGAGAGATGTATCGATTTTTAAGTGATTGGACACTCTTCGGGACTGACTCCAGACATACCGTTTGAGCAAAGAATCTTGCGCTCAAGCAAATAAATCAAATAGACCGCTCGAGCGCTGAAAGTTGTGCTCGAGCATAGAAACACCCGCTTTCAGTATCTCTCACCTCTGCAAAATAGACCGCTCGAGCGGTGAATCTTGTGTTCGAGTGTAAAACACACCCCTCCTAGTAACTCAGATCAGACTTGGAACATAGAACTCGGAGGCCTCGAAAACCGCTTGAGCGTTGGAAGCTGCACTCGAGCGAACCCAAGTTTAAAACAAGACCAACTCAACTCCAAGGTGTTTCCCACACTACCTCGGCTCGCATACACACTCCTGGCTCCAAGTCCCGACACAAGGGCACCCATGCACTAGAATGATAACCGTATCAAAGGGAGTACCAGGCAATAAGAGAATTAAGAGACTATTCACACAAGAATAGTTCTGTGATAACTTTCAGTTTTTAGATTAACATCACTAATCATGGTTTAAAAGACCTGGGACATCATGAGTGTATTGCAAGGAAATTTTTTGAAAGAGTAGGATTATACACAAACCCAAATTTTGATACAATAATTATACAAAAACCTTTACATTTTTCACAATCTTATAACTAATCAAAATACCACATATAATATTCAAAACAAATTTATAGAGGTAAGAGAATCCCTACCTCAAAGTGAGAGAGAGAATTGGTGAAGCCCTAAAATCCCAAAATGCTCCAAAGGAAAATTGGGCTTGGTGAAGTCAAAGCCCTCGGTGGGCTCTACAACTTTAATAAATGAGTTTTTGCGAAAAACTCAAGGAGATGATATGAAGGGTTGATTTTTCTGTTGGAAGAGAGAATATAGAGAAGATATATATATATATATATAAAGAGAGAGAGAGAGAGAGAGGATGAAGAAAAGTAAGAAAAACGAGAGAGATCAGATTTGAGAGAGAGGCTCGAAAATTGAGGCTGGGACATGCGTGGCCTCCATGTGTGGAGCCTTTAGCTGCACGTGCACTAGCCTCTGGCCGCATATGCTGTTTTCTGCATGCCACACTATGGAACTCCCCTCGTTGCCACACATGCGGGGCACTCTGCCGCACGCGTGGTGAAAATCCTCTCCATGTGTGGGCTCAATCCAGAATTCATTCCCTTTCTTCACTTTTTTTTTTTTTTGATCAGCAATAGACGAAAATATTTTATTAAAATGGAAGAGGAAAACGTACAAAAGGAGGACATGATGTCCTTAAAAGCCATAAAACAAAATCAAAATCCTAAGATTCGCACACAGACTTCTAATCACTAGAAATCAAGAAAAGTTGAATCCTTCTAAACAGGGAAGCCAATGAAGCCCAAAAAGATGTCAAGAATATGATTTTCTCCCACATTGAGAAGACATTAGCACTTTTATCCTCCAAGATCCTTACATTTCTTTCCAACCATATGACCCATAAAAAAGCACAAACTACACACAGCCCCAAAACCTTCGCTTTTTTATTTGAGCCCAAAAATCGGAAATCGGTGAACAACATGAAACTACATAATTCAGGGGCTACCCAAGCAATGCCACCCAATGAGAAAAACTGCTACCACAAGCTCCTTGCCTCTGGACAATGTAAAAAAAGATGGTTTAGAGACTCCCCCTCACCCATACACATAATGCAGCATTGAGGAAAAAGATACTATTTAGGCCTCCTCTTTTGAAGAACATCATTGGTCAAAATGTTTCCATGAACAAAAGACCATATAAAAAACTTTACTTCGAGAGGTGCAAAAGACTTCCAGATTCTTTTATAAAAGGGAAAGAATGGTGCACTTGAATGATTTTATCAAAAAAAGATTTGCAAGAAAAGACACTGGATGTATGCAAGAGCCAAACTTGTTTATCATTCAAGAGAGAGTTCAAAGACAAATGATCAATACGAGACAAGAAGGATGCTAACTCCTCAACTTCTCTATTAGTGAGATTTCTAGAGAATATGAAATTCTATGCAATTGGAGCCAAACTAGAACAAGCCAATGACGCAATGGAGGAATCATGAGAATTTGCAACTCTATAAAGACCCAGGAAGTCCTTGGAAAAAGAAGAATTTCCAATCCAGACATCCTTCCAAAACCGAATCTTCTCCCCATTTCCCACCCTCATAGAAAGGAATCTAGAAAAAAGAGAAAAAATATGAGATATTGACTTCCAACGAGCTCGACAATTACCCCTCAAAACCACATGAGTAGACCTACCAAGATCTTGAACACCATACTTGCTCATTTATTTTTATTTTTATTTTTATTTTTTTTTTGATTTTTGAGCACCATACTTGCTCTTAATAATAGAATGCCATAATGAGTCTTTCTCCAAAGGAAATCTCCATAGCCACTTTCCTAGAAGGGCCAAATTTCTTGCTATAGTGTTACCAATTGCGAAACAGTCTCCCATCTAACCATGTGCATCTTCTTACCGTCATCCTTTCCTTCCCATAAGAAATCCCTCATTAATCTAATGATTTCGCTATCCTTACCGGGACCTTAAAAAGGGACCCAAAAAAGAGATGGGAATACCACTTAGAACGGATTGAATCGAAGTGTACCTCCCCCCCTTTCGAAAGCAAAGCTCTCTTCCAACCCTCCAATCTCTTTCCTATTTTTGCTACCACTGGCAACCAAAAGGATTCACTCCTAGGATTACCCTCAAGAGGAAGCCCCAAATATTTCATAGGAAGCCCCAAACATTTCATAGGAAGCTTCTTGATGGAACACCCTAGGATATTTGCCAAACTTAGAACATGACTCTATTGCAAATTAATACCCACAATACTACTCTTACTTAAATTAACCTTTAGACCCCGAAATATCATCAAATACCCTTAAGAGCAATAAAATGCACCTCACTTTACTCTCCTCCCCTGAGGAAAAAAACAGCGTGTCATCCGTAAATTGGGGATGAAAAACACTAACTCTGTCTCCCCCTACCACGAAGCCGTCCACTAGATCTAGCTCTCTCGCCCTATCAATCAACCTACCCAACACATCCGTCACTAGGATAAAAAGGAAAGGAGATAAAGGATCACCCTGCCTCAAGCTCGTTGTGGCCATAAAAGAATTCTTAGGTTTCCCATTCATGAGAACTGACATGTTACAAGTTGACAAACCCCAAATCCATTTCCTCCACCTATCTCCGAAACCCTTTCTAGACATTACAAAGACCAAAAAACACCAATCCACATGATCATAAGCTTTCTCAAAATCAGCTTTAAACATGACACCTTTGTTCTTCAAAGCTCTGTACTCCTCCACTGCTTCATTTGCCACCAAAACAACATACAAAATCTATCGTCCCTTAATAAAAGCTCCTTGAGCCGAAGAAACGGTGTTCCCCAAAGTCGCCCTTAGCCTTTTTGACAACAACTTCCCCAAAATCTTATATAGAGACGAGACTAGGCTAATGGGTCTGAAATCACTTATTTTAACTAAGTTTTCCTTCATGGGAATCAAGCAAATAAATGACGCGTTTGTGCTCAAATTAACCCCTCTCATGAAATTCTACGAATACTCTCACCAAATCACCTTTCACTACCTCCCAACAATCTTGGAAAACTGCCATAGAAAAGTCGTCCGGCCCTAGAGCTTTATCTCTTTCACAATAAAAAACTGCCTCTTTAATTTCTGCCTCCTCAAAAGGCCTCTCCACCCACCTTGCCAATGTCTCATCCGTCCGTGACCATTCAACGCCTTTAATCCCAGGTCTAACTACCCCACCGTCCGAATAAAGATTTGTGTAAAACCTAAAAATCTCTCATACACCAATCCGCGCGTGTGGCCAAGTCTTGTGAGGCCCGACTTCCCCTAGGTGTTCCTACACCCCACACTCCGCCCTTACGCCCGAAACTGAAAAGTTTAGTTTGGTAAAACATTAAGGAACACTAGACATGGCTCTAATCACAATCACCAAGACACTACTCGCCACACGAAGGCTCTGAAAACATAACGTTAAGTCCGAACACGAGGGTTCAAGTCGGGTCTATGACCCGATACATTACAAATTGTGTATTATTAAAAACATAAGTGAGGGAACAAAGGTGACTTAGCAAACTAGTTTGTTGTTTGCATAGTTCATGCTTTTTATCTTGACATGGCATAAGGACTACTATATTTGCTGGATTTCAGTGTTAAATATTTTGATCGGTTCTATATACTAGGTATTGCCAGCTGGCAGAGCTCTAGAAAATAGCATACCAGAGAATGTTATTGATATGAGAATGAATGCATGCTGTAAAATGTGAATGACTAGGGAAGTGCGCAGTTTGTTCTCACATTTTTCCATCTTAGATGGGAAAGTATTATATCAGATATTTTTGGATATTTGTTTTGTGGTTTCCTGTAAACAAACTTTCTTAGGGCTTAATATATGTGTTCATCATTTTTTGTTCAGAGTATCTCGCCAGAACAGGCAAAAAGATTTACAAAATTTAGGGAGAGGAAGGGCCTTATTGACAAAGATGTGGTATGCTGGAAATTATCTCATTTTTTCCATTCTTACAGACTAATTTTTCTTTAGATGAATTGAAGAAAGCCCTTTGCATTCAAACTGTCGATTGTGTTCACTTTCTTTTTTCAAGGTAAGGACTGATAGATCACTCTCATTCTATGATGAGGAAGACAATCCAAATGTGAACCTTTTACGAGATATACTGCTGACATACTCCTTCTACAATTTTGACCTTGGTTATTGTCAGGTGCTTCTCATTGTCAGTAGTTACTATTCCAGTAATTGATTGATTTTAGATGATTCATAGCCAAATGTTTTTCACATATGCAATGTATCAAATTTCTTTCTGCTTGTCATTATGTTCAGCCCAGATATACAAATGCTTGGAAACAATTTGATAACGAAACAACACTAAAGTGTACATGTTATTGCTTACAAATATTACATTAAAGGATATTTTGGATGTTAATACATGTTGGTAAATGATTAATTTGAATATGTTTATGGCTTGTACGAGTCACGACCAAGAATATGACATGGTTTTGAAATTCCCTTGAAGTTTCTCTTCTTCTTGAGAGTTGGAAATGAAAATAGTATTGTGATCTTTCTTTATAGTTGCATTCAGGAGTGATGGAATAATAATATGGATTGCTGCTATGCAAACAGGGTTTGTAGTTCTCATTCTGCTTGATTATACGTTTAGTGCATATTGTGAAGGATTTGTTCCCTACAATGTGGTGGTTGCGTTGTGTATTTGTGCTAATTAAAACCCTTTCTTCTCTCATATAGGGCATGAGTGATCTTCTATCGCCAATATTGTTTGTAATGAGGGATGAGTCAGAATCATTTTGGTGTTTTGTTGCATTGATGGAACGACTTGGACCAAATTTTAATCGCGACCAAAATGGCATGCACTCTCAACTATTTGCATTATTAAAGGTTGGTCTCTCTCTCTCTCCCTCTCCCTGCTTGTGGTCTCACACATGTAATTGCAGAAGAATTTGGATCTCATTTGAGTTTATGAATTGGCTGAAAAGAACAATACTTTAAGACCTGAGGAATTTCCCGGACTTGATGGGCTGTGCTAGTTGGCATCATTTTCAGCATTGATAGTCCTACACAATTTTGTTCTTTGCTTTATCTGTCTGGGGGTGGCTTTGAGGCAATATTCCTGATTGGAAGATTGCATCTTTTATTCCTTTGTAATAACCTTTTAAGTTGGTTTCATTATTTGGAGGAAGCATAGTTTCTGTTTGAATAGAAAACTCAAACAATTCTGACGTAGTCACAAAATTCATGTTGAATCTGCGGAAGCTTGTCCTTTAAGTTTCTGAATGGCTGCACAAATACTTTCATGAGTATGGAGTGCTTTATTACCCTCCTGGATGATTATAATTCTCTGACTGTAACTTTCATTCTTGGTAAACAAGCAGTGAGTGGTAGATATGTGACAATTTGTAATGGTAACTTTGAAGCTAGTTTAATAGTTTGCAATTAATTTCTTTCTTTGTTTCTTTTTTTGTTTCTGAAATGTGAAGAGAAGTTAGGTCTCTGAGCTATATTTTAACTAAAATATTGTTTTGTGTGGCTATATTTTACCACTGTTCAAAATTTTAATGTATCTCACTGTTTTTGTGGCAGCTGGTGGAGTTGTTAGACAGCCCATTACATAATTATTTTAAGCAGAATGACTGCTTGAATTACTTCTTTTGCTTCCGTTGGGTTCTTATACAATTTAAAAGGCAAGTGGCATTCTGTTATTTCATTTGCTTGAAACAATGTTTCCGCGTATCAACACTAGATGGGTGGCACGCACCACATGCATGGTCACCGTATTTATATTTAAGAGGGGGGAAAAAAATGGAGAGAGAACTCTGTCTGTGTTGTGCCTACTGTTTAGTGTTTTATATAGCCGGTTCCAAGCCTGGATGAGGAAGTTTGTGTCATATAAAGATTGCAAGGATATCCTTAGAGAGAAATTAACATGACGACATAGGCTAACAATACTACATATCTATAAATGGTAAATCAAACCAAAAGCCATGAATTAGATGGTGTGCGAAATTAGAAATATTTAAGGATAAAAAACTTAAAGAAGCAATGCGGAGTTTGTAAGGTGATGCTATTAACATGTGGATTACAATGGTGGAATGCATTAAAAGAATATCGCAACAAGTCTTGGGAGAGTCAACTGGAAAAGGCCCTATATCTAAAGGTACTTGGTGGAATAGTGAGATATAGGCTCTTGTAAAAACAAAGAAGGAATGTTTTAAAAGTGGAACTCCGCCTGTGTCGTGCTTAGTGTTTAATCTTTTATATAGCTGGTCCCAAGCCTAGAGAAGGAAGGTAGTGTGTCATAACGTTACAACATAGGCTAGCAATACTAGATATATACATCAAAGGGAAAATTCAAATAGAAAAACATTTTAAAATCCTATGAATTAGATGGTGGAATATAAAAGGTGAGAAATTAGAAATATTTATGGATAATTTTTTCTAAAAAAGCAACATGGAGTTTGCAAGGCGGTGCTAATAACATGTGGAATACAATGGCGGAATGCATTAAAGAATATTGAAAGAAGTACTTGGAGAGTAAAATGAAATGACCTATAGTTATAGATATAAGCTGTTGTAAAAGCAAAGAACTAATGCTTTAAAAAGTAACAAAAGGATAAAGGAGATAACCAAAATTACAACAACTATAGAGGCTTTAGTTAATGAGTCATATAATGAAATTGTGGGAAAGTAATTGAGCATCTCTTATGGGTTATAACAATAGTGTCAGATAATCAGGGATTTATGTCTGGTAGGTCAACTATGAAACTGATATATTTACTAAGAAGATTAATAGAAAAGTGCATCAATAAAATGATGGATCTATATATAGATTTTATAATTTTTTTTTTTTTGTTTTTTTTTTTTGGGGGGGGTGGGGGAATTAGTGAAATTTCTAATCATTTTAGGGTCATATCAAGGGTAAGTTACCCACCCCAAAAAAAAATATCACGGGTAAGTTTTGAGTTCTTACCTACTTATCTAGTCATGGATAAATTAACAAAATGCATTTATGATGATGTCCTATGGTGTACGTTGTTTGCAGATGATATTGTTCTAGTGAAAGAACTAAGAAAGCAATTAACACCAAATTAGAAATTTGGAGAGAACTTAAGTTAAAAAGGTTTAAAATTAGTTAAAATAAAACTAAAGTATATGGAATGTAACTTTAGTGACAATAGAACTAGAAATAATGCAGAATTGAAGATTGAAAACCATGATATGACAAGTAGTGATCATTTGCGTTACTTGGGCTTGGTTGTTAATAAGGATGTCGAGGTTGGAGATGATGTGATCCATAGAATCAAAATATGTTGGCTCAACTAGAGGAGTATGTTTGACAGACTACCAAAAAAATTGAAAGATTTTATGGAAAACCTATAAGGTCAACGATGCTTTACATGATAGTGTGTTGTCCAACTAAGAAAATGAGTGTAGTTAAAATGAGAATGCTTAGATGGATCTGTGGTAATTAGACCTACTACCTCCACTATCTTTCTCCACACCTACCACCTCCACTATCACACACACCTACTACCTCCACTATCTTTCTCCACACCTACCACCTCCACTATCACACACTCCACTACCATCTTCTCCTCTATATATAGGAATTGTAATATACAGAATATAATTAATCTTGTATCAATATATCAATCTTGTAATACATCAATCAAATATCAATCAATCAATAAAACATAAATTATTACAGAAAACCTATAAGGTCAACGATGCTTTACATGATAGTGTGTTGTCCAACTAAGAAAATGAGTGTAGTTAAAATGAGAATGCTTAGATGGATCTGTGGTAATTAGAAATGAATATATTCATGAAATGGTAGTAGTACCAGTTGAAGATAAGTTGAGAGAGAACATGCTAAAGATGATTTGGTCATGTATAATGAGAACTTATAGATGCAATGCAACAGTAATGAAGAGTGATATGATCACTATAAATGGAAATGTTAGGAGGGGAAGAACTAACCTAACATGATATTAATTTAACTAATCATATAGCCTTTCAGTAGACTAGAATGACAAAAAAAGATTCATGTATCGGACCTCATTTGATTGGGACACAAATCTTAGTTTGCTTGAAAAATTAAAAAGAAAAGATAAAAAATAAATAGAAAACAGAAAACAGAAAAGAAAAAACGAGTAATATATTGATTAAAAGTTGTGAGAATTGGTATGAATTTGTATTTGTGAGAGACGTGGGAAAAAGTGGGATGAGAATCCTGTAATTTTGGAGGTTTTTTGCTTCCATATTATCCAGAGCTTATCTGATTTGGTTTTGTGTTTCAGGGAATTTGAATTTGAAAGAACAATGCGGCTGTGGGAAGTTTTGTGGACTCGTTATATATCCGAGCACCTGCACCTGTATGTCTGTGTTGCAATACTGAAGAGGTACCGTCGCAAGATAATGGGGGAGCAGATGGATTTTGACACGCTCTTGAAGTTTATAAATGAGCTCAGCGGTCACATTGACCTTGATGCAATCCTTAGGGATGCAGAGGCCTTGTGCATATGCGCTGGTGAGAACGGAGCTGCTTGCATTCCTCCTGGAACTCCACCTTCATTGTCCATTGAGGACGGCTTATTATACTCTCAACAAGATGATGAAGTATTGTAGAAATGTTCCCTAATTTTGGGAGCATATCTGATTCGATGTTCACAAAAAATAAGGAAGATTAGCGTTTCATGTAATTTACGATTTCTTAATATGTTTTGAGATTGTTCGACATATTTCTTTATGAAATATTTATATTGCAGTCAAATGTATTTAGCAGTGAGTGATGGAGGTTTTGTGGGTGGCTCCACTTGCAAGTGTACACATGTTAATTAATTTTGGGGGTTTTGGCTGCAAAAAAAGGGCTAAGGCATTGTGGCTGTGTAATGATTGCAATTTTTTGGGTAATTTGGTTGGAAAAAAATGCAAGGATTTTTTAAGACAAATTTGGGGATGTGGATTCTACGTGAGATGAAGTCCGAAGTTTGGCATCTTTTTGGGCCTTGGTGTCTCCACCGTTTAGAGGGATTCCGCTTTTTTTTATCTCTACAGACTGGGTGGATGTTTCTGACACATAATATCTTTCTTTGCTTTGTTGATCATTAAGGACTCCTTGTCCTCTCTTGTACTATTTCTCTTTTTTATTAAATAAAATTACTTTTGTTGTGATCCAAAAAAAAAGAGAAGAGATTCTTTCTATTGCTTTTCAATGCATTATGCAGTGAATGATGATTCTTTGATTTGTTGATAGCACCATTTGCAATCATGCATGCCTTGCCTTTGACTGTTTTTCTAAATCACCTGCTTTAGGGTTCAGATTGTTTGTCAAAGTGTTGCAGGAAGAAAAATTATGGGATTTCATTTGCAGTGGACTTCAACTTTCTTTGGTATTCTGCATTATATTGATGCCTCATTATCATGGAACTTCCATGAGCTCTTGCAAAAGGTACACTGCATGATCTTTTTTCTCAATCATCTTTACCTTTTCTGCCTGGATGTACATATATTCTTATGCTAAATTATTTGTGATGCAGATTGTAGTGTCCTATTTTTGCACCAGTAGATATGATTTGAGTGACTTATATTATTTGATCACTTTTTTCTTTTTGTGGGGTGGGGAACAATAGAGCAATAACCTAGTGTATTTTATTGCAATTAGATTCATATTTTATATTCAATTGGGTTCATTATTGAGTCATGGAAACCACCTCTCCAGTAATGGGATAAGGCTGCTTGCATCTTGCCCTCCCGGACACTATTTAAGCACCGGTCTCGTGCATTAGATCGCCTTTTTTTAGATTCATAGTTGTATATGAAAAAATTTCTCTGATTGCTTGTGTCTGCTAGAAAAACAGAATGAGAGCTTATTTAAACATCCAGAAAAAGAAATGATCAAGGATTTGGGACTGAAGATAGAAAGGAAGATTTAATGGTTCAAGTGTGAAGAGGACATGAAAAATAAGAGATTTAGTGTCAAGTACAACTCATGTTTGGCTCATTGAAAGCTCGTTTGAGATCTGCTCGTTATATAAACAAACCAAGCTTGAACACATTAAGACAAATTTAAACAAGTTACTACTTGACTGGATAAACATATATGTACTATAGAACACCAAGCTATTTGAGTTTGATTTGTGTTTAGCTCGTTTGAGATTGACTTGTTATGTAAGCAAACGAAGTTTGAGCACGTTTTGAAACTTGTTAAGTTTTCAAGTTAAATTTGAACAACTTGCTACTTTGTTCGATTTAGCTCATTTGCTTTGGGAGAGCAAATCAGGGAGGATATTAATCCCCATTTAGTAGTGAGAAATTTAGGCATATATCACATAGTAGTACCAAAGACTGGTTGCGTACAAAATTCCTGTTGGTGGGTGTCCACTCCATTGCTTCCAAATGCTTGAGACAAAGCAAAGGAATCCAAGATGGATATGAATGTCTCATCATTATCATAGAAGAAAGTTGCATTATTGGCAGGCAACAGTGGAGATCCCATGCCAAAGTAGAAGGTTTTTGCATCTTCCATCCAAGGTCTTCCGTCCAAGGACTGGTAACTACTGTAACCTCCTCATCTTCCTCTTTTCCACTCGATCCTTTGTTGTTTTTTGAACTTTCGCTTCTAATGGGCTGAGAAATTGGCAATTGTCGGAGTTTCTTCTTGTCCTTGTAATCCGTGGCTGTTGTTTTGTGTTGAGAAGAGCTTGTCTTGTCCAATTGGGTATTCCAGTAGTTTTTTATTTCATTGTCGGAGAATTATCAAGTTGTCCAATCCATCTTCTTGTCCAATCCATTCTCAAACAGTTAGATGAGCTGCAATGCCTTAACTTGTCATTGGCCCTGTTTGGTACAGCTTTTTTTTAGCTTATTTCAGCTTTCAGCTTAATTTAAGCTATTTTGATGAGTTTGGTTTAACTTAACAATGCAGCTTATAGCTTTTTGTAAGTCAAAAATTAGCTTATTCTTTAAGTGGGGCAGGAGAAGCTTAATTTATAAGTCAGAAATCAGCTTATGTTCATAGTTATAAGTTATAAGCTGTTAAGGCATAAGCTATAAGTACTTTCCCACAGCTCTACCAAACAGGGTCATTGTCACTAGAGCTTTTAACGAATCAAGTTGAGTATTATCTTGTTTCAACTTAATTTAAAAACTCAATTAGGGTCTGTTTGGTAACTATTTCGTTTTCAGTTTTTCGTTTATATTTATAAAAATTTTAAAAACTGTCATAAAAACTTGTTTGATAATTTTTTTTGTTTATAAATGACTGTCTCAGTTTATAAATTTGAGAAAAAAATGTAAATTCAAAAAATGAGTTTACGTTTTCAGTTTTCAATTAATTTTTTTTAATTATTTTTTGTCAATTAATTATTTTTTCAAATAATTTTTTTTTTCAATTAATTTTTTTTCTCAATTAAATTTTTTTTTTCATTAATTTTTTTTCATTTTTTTCAAATAATTTTTTTTTCAATTAAATTTTTTTTCAATTATAATGTGTGTGATCCCATTGTCATAAATAATAAAAATAAATATAAATATTTTAGGCCTGAGCAAACATATTTTTTAGTTTATATTTTTAAAAATTTTGTTCAAACCAAACGCATTTATAATTTATTTTTTTTTAAAATAAACAAAAATCAGTTTATAAAAATTTTGTAAACATAAACTAAAAACGTAAACGTTACCAAACGCTACCCCAATGAATTTCAAAATGTGATTAGAGTACTATTTACTTTTTGAGCCGATTTCAGATGAACTTTAATTGAGTCAATCACGAGTTGAGGTTGAGTAGTTTTATTTTTTGTAGTGCGTATAACCGAGTCAAGCCAAGTAGAAAGTTCTAACTTGGCTTGAAAATTTCGTGAATTTCAAAATGTTTTTAAGTTCTGTTTGTTTATATAATGAGTAATCTCAAATGAGTTTTTGACAAGTTAAGTAGGAGTTGAGTTTAAGTAGTTTGATTTGTTTTACTCTTGTAATTATCACCTCATTCTCTTTATAAAAGACAGTAGAGGGAAAAAAAAAGAAAAAAGAGATTCATTCTAAAATATCTGGAAGAGCTGCAATGTTTTGATTTATCTCTATCTCTCTCTCTCTATATATATATATATACAAGAGAAAGAGAATGACTTCTCTCTTAAGGATTTGGACATGAGAGGAGTATCACATTTGTTTCACATCAGGACTTTTTGTAAATTATAAGTCTAGATTTTTTTACCCATTAACCATTGGGTCTGATCTTTACATGAAATCTAATATTGAGTTTGTAAGTAGGTAGAGAAAATTTAAACTATTAATTTAGAATAACAATATCAACTGAAGAGAAGCTTCCCCATATAACTATATCAATTTATATGAGAGTTGGATTAAACACTTGCGACACTCATCGTTCATGCCAAATTCCAAGTTGATTGGAAGATTGTGAGCTCCTCTTATTTCGATAGTCCTCCAAAGCTTAGTTTTGTGAAACATAAATTCATCATATAGTTACAAAACTTTTAAATTTTACACTTAAATTGATTTTCTAGCCCTAGCTTGTGAATCAAATGTAGGGCATGTTTGGTATAACTTTTATCAAGTCTGAAGTTAATATATATATATATACATACATACTAGCGGTTGGCACACGCGATGTATGTGCAAATTATATAAATAAAAATAAAATAACATATTTAACATATATTGGTTGTAATCTCAAGTGATAAGAGTCTTTTATATCAAATTTGTGGTCTAGAGTTCAAGTCTCGGCCCATTCTCTTTATTTATTTTTTAATAGATAACTAGACACTTAACATGAAGAGAGATAGAGTTTTAAGAAATTAATATAAGTGTTCACATATATAATAGTATATATATATTGAGAACATAAAGTTAAAATTATAAAGTAAAAATTAATAGCATTTCTCTCAATAATTAATTTATTTTAATTTATTTAAATTATTTCTATCTCATAACTTACAAGTAGAAATTGAACCAAATATTATTGTACAAATTTTAAAATAATACCAAGCGGCACTACAAATGGCAGAGAGAGAGAGAGAGAGAGAGAGAGAGAGCAAAGAAGTGAATAGCAGCCTGAAGAAAGGTCTGTGGAAACCAGAAGAGGACCTGATAAAGGTCTGTGGAAACCAGAAGAAGACTTGATTTTGAAAAATCATGTACAGGCTTATGGAGAAGGCAATTGGCCAACTGCTTCACTAATGTCAGGTGAAGAGCGGCCTGAAGAAAGAGAGGTCTGTGGAAACCAGAAGAGGACTTGATTCTGAAAAATTATGTACAGAATTATGAAGGCAACTGGCCAACTGTTTCACTAAAATCAGGTATCTCTGTGTCTCTCTCTCTCTCCAGCAGGTTGTGTGAGCAATAAAAAGAGGAAGCTGATATACCAATGTGTTTGATTTCAGTTTTCTGAATTTAGTTTTTTAAAAATTAAATTTTTTATTTTTAGTATTTTTTACTTTTAGTAAATATTTTTAAAATTTAAAGGGTATGTTTGGTTTGAATTTCTAGAGTGATTTTGGGAAAAAAAAAAAATTTGTTTGGTTTGTGAATTTTCCAAAATAATTTTCAAAATCACTTTCTCTCTCTTACCTATCAATCAATCACTTTTTCTCTTTCCTCTCTCCTTCTCAATCACTTTTTCTCTCACACATATTTACTCAATTTTAACAAAACATCAAATCATTACAAACTCCCAAACTCCAAAACTACTTTCAAAATATACAATCAAACAAACCAAAAAAAATTTTAAACTCTCTCTCCAAAACAATTTTCAAAAACTACTCTCCCAAAAACAAACCAAACAAGCCCTAAGTAATTTTTTTTACTTTTTTAGATACATTTTATTTAGATGTATCTAAATAGTAAAATATTTGTGAAAAAATATTTTTAAAAATTAATAAATACACAAAAATATAAAAATGTACTAAATTTTCGGTTTTTTTTTTTTTTGTATTTAGTGTATTTTTTAATGATTTTTTTCACAAGTATTATACTTTTTAAGTGTGTTTTTGTTATATGTGTCTAAAAATTAAAAAAAAAATTGTTTAAAATATTAAAAAATTCATTGAAAATATTAAAATACGAAAAATAAAAAAGTAAAATTTTCTGAAAACTGTTTTCCGAAAACTAGAACCAAACAAGCTGAAAAGTGTTTTTGAAAATAGAGTCTTCATTATTTCAAGTTTTGT